GCCTTCTTCGCGCGCCACGTCGAGCGGCGGCGTGCGGACGTCGTCATAGAGCGGCTCGAGCGCGAGAAGCAGCGCGCCCAGTGCGACACTGCCTGAGCATTCGCCCGGCCGCGCAGAGCGCCTCTTGACACCGCCTCGGGTGTGAGCAGGTACGACTACGAGCTGCTCGCCCACGAGATCCGGCGCTCCACGGTCACCTTCTCTGGCTACGCCTCCAGCGCTGGAGCCTACTCGGCCGGATCGACCGATGCGACCGACCGGTGAAGTCGTGGCGCACCGGGCCAGCCCCCCATGCGCCATGCGCCATGCGCCATGCGGGCCTACGAGCTATAACCTACAGGTCATGCAAAATAAATCTGAGAAATATTGCGGGCGTATCGTCGAAACCCCAAAGTCAGCGTTGCAGAGCTGCGAGAAGCGATGGGCGCCCCTCTAAACGCCCATAGAGCCACCGCCTCGCTCGCCCGAGCCGCTCCGAGTCGTCCGACTGGAGGAGGGCGCTGCGCTCGCCCGGCATCGAGCCGGTGCACCACCCGCCCCCAAACGCGGTCCCGGACCCCCCTCGCCGCCAGCGGCAGCCGCTGGCTCGACGAGCAGCACCCGCTCGGCCGCCGCCTTGGCTCGGCCGCCGCTGTCGCGGCTGTCGGGCTCCACGACAGCCGTCGACCACCGCCGAGAGGTGGCTGGGCCGCTATGGATGCGGAAAGTGCAAAAATGGACACGCGCTTTTGCGACCCCGCAGCATGGTTTGTTTTAGGCGCTCGACTGGACTTGGACTGCTGACCGCCCGCGACCCTGAATCCTGGTCTCGCGACGGCTATCTCGACCCGGCGCTCGGGATGGAAGGTCGCCATTTGAGCGGTGTCAGCTTAAAGCAATCGCTGCTCTCACTAGCTAGAGCGGTGTTCACTCAGCAAAGTCCCGCTCTGAAGAGGAGGAGCGAAGGAGAGCGCGACTGAGGGAGGCGAAAGCAGCCTCTCCGCGGAAATTGACCGCTCCCGCTATGTTGAGCGGTGTTGCACTGACTTGACTCCGCTCGAACGTGTTCGGTCGGTGTTTTTCTGAGCAAGAGTCCGCTCTGAAGGTTGCAGAGCGGAGTCTTGTTAGGCAAACGCTGCTCTGTGTTGTGTAGAGTGGGATTTAAGCTTGAAGAACGCTGCTCTAGCACCCGCGAGCGGGGTTGCTGAGATAGAACACGGCTCTGATATGCGAGAGTGGCGTTGCGCGTTTTGCTTTTGGCCCTCAGCCCCCCTCCCGGGTCAGGCGTGCATCGGGCGTACAAAATGGCCGCGGGGCGCAGCTCCAGCGACGCTGTCTCTTTGGCCCGAGCGGTGGGCAACTCTCTGGCCGGGCTCGGGCCCTCTCGGGCTGCTGCGAGCTCCGCGATGCGCGTCCCCTCCGCCGCACGGCCGTGCCCCTGCCCCTCACCCTCCGACTCCGCCGCAGGACCGGTCTGGCGACCCGGGACGACCGCCTAGAGCAGCATCATCGACCATCCCGACCCCGTGGGGGTCGGGGCGGGCCAGCCAGACGTGAGAGCGCCCCTCCCCCCCTCTCGCGGCGCGTCCCCTCCTTCCTCCCCGCACCCCGCCACCCGGCTCGCCGCCCCGTTGCCGTCGCGAGTCAGCCCTCGGTCAGGTACTGCCAAAGGCGGCCACAAGCAGCACCATCGCTACCAGCGCCACCGTGCCGGCGCTGGTGAGCTCTGCGGCCCGTGTAGCGGCCCCTCAGCCCGTCGCCCGGGCACATGGCGCCCTCACACCGCTCCTCGCCCCCGTCTCGCAGGCCAAAATCGTCGACATCGCGTCGGCACTCTCTACGGCGCGCCTGGGCTCGCAGAGGGCGGCCTGGGCGGTGCAGGGTGGCTGGGCTGCCCCCCTCGCGCGGTGTGCCAAGCCTCGGGGGTCGGGGAGACCATCTCGGGTCGCCGAGGGGGCGGGTCGGACGCCCGATCCGGCTGCTGGCCGGAGGACGTCGCCGGTTCCGCGATTTTGGGCGCCCCAGTCGCCTCCAGCCGGGCCGAGCGGCGCCAGCTGGTAGCTGGGGCCGCAGGGCGGTCGGGCCGACACCGTGTGCTAGTCGGGGTGGGTTGTCTAGGGGTGTAAAGGTCGGTAGAGTGTCCGTTGTGGCCTCCCCGGACGGGCTCTGGTCGGGAGCCCGCCGGGCCGGCTGAGGCTGTGTGTCCGTCCACTGTGGACCCAGTGATGGCCTAGGAGCCCTGCACGGACGGTCTTTATGCTATATAACACCTAGGGACCGCGTGGGGTGGGCGGCGAGCCGCGCATCGGCCGACAATGTGCCGGTGTTACGCGTTTGCGTCGCGATTCGCGGGGTCACACTGAGCTTCTTCAGGGCCCGTTTTGCATGACCTGTATACAAATATATACGTCTCTCTTGAAGTTTTCTCGGATCTCGCCCCCTTCTTTGTGTGATTGTCATTGTGGATTGCGTGTGGTACTACTCTAATCAGTTATCATGCTAACCTCGACCACCCTCCGTCCACCCCATCTCCCCCCACATCAGACATACACTAACACACACGCCCTTTTTGTGTGCGGGGCGACTAGACACTAGTTCATCTCGTCCAACCCATGCTGCATGTCTAGCTGCATGCACGTCCCTCATATCAGAGTCTCTCTCTCTCTCTATCTCTCAGCACGGACAATCTCTCACTGTGACAATCACCCCCCAGTACCAGGACCAGTACGATCGAGTCCCACAAACCAGACCCCTGCGCCGGCCTCGTACCACACACGAATCGGCTCTACGTGCAGGCGCCGCGTGGGTCAGAGGAAGAAGCCGGGGACCTCGCGATCCGTCGACGCCCGGCGCAGAGGGCTCGCCAGTCCTGCCTGCTTGAAGAAGTGCTTGCGCTCCGATGGAGAGAGGCAGCCTGCGTTGGGGAGGGGCGTTAAGGCGCGCTCGGCACCAATCGGCTGAGGCCAACGGCTCACCCTCTGACGATTCGATCTGGCCGCCGCGGCCGAGAATCACAAACGCGCTCGTGGACGGCGTAGGCGTCGTCGGCGAAGGCGGTTCGTCCACAAGAATGAACTGTTCCTCGTGAGAGTTGTTCGAGACGATCAGCTCATTCGTGCGGGAGAGGCTGGGCATTGTAAAGTCGGTGCTGTGGGAGCGTGGCCGCATCGTCGACATTGGGAGCGGCTGCAGACTTGGGTGAGTGCGAGTGTCGTTAACCCAAACCGAAAGAAGAAATTCGGCGAAAAAGAAAAACGCACGTGAAAACGAACCTGGCCTAGCACAGACAGAAGAGAACGACGCGACAGAGGAGGAAATGACAAGGGAGAGAACGACGAGAGTGGGACGACCGCGAGGTGGCATGAAGGCTGCAGCGAGAAGCGGCGAGAGACTGCGAAGAGAGATAGGAAGAGGCAGACTCCCTAGGGTGGGCGACGGCTAGCGCATCACACACACCTCTCCTTAAAATCCCTGTGTGGTGGCGGCGTGCCGTCCTCCCATCCCTCCCTTGGGTTGTCTGTTTTCTTTCTTTTTTAGCTAGTGCTAGTGCTAGAGTGGGAGATGTTTGTGCATACGGTCTGTCTCTACAATATACAAACACGGCGGCTTCTCGCCCACCGCCGTTCTCAATCAAGCTGCGCCGCCTCGCGCGCAAAGTCGCGCGCGGCAGCGTTGACCGCACGGCCTACTCGCCCAAGTACTCGCTCTCTTTTATGTCCCACCATGCAGAGCGCATCTCTCTCTCTGTTGTGCGAGGCGTGAACCGCGCCATTCGCTCTCACCTGGCAACCCTGTCTGCACGTCTCGCGCGCGCGTGAACAGGGCTCCAGGCCCCAAATGACGCGTGAGTGTTAGATTTGTTTGGTATTGCTAAAACTCTCTCTCTCACACAATATACTCACTGACACTCCACCTCCCAGAGCTCGTCCCGGTCCGCCACGGCCATCCTTGGCCTCCGGAGGGCCCCCGGCCGCGGCGCGGTGCGGCGGCGTCACAAATCTCAACAAAAGCGCCATTCGCTCTCACCTGGCAACCCTGTCTGCACGTCTCGCGCGCGCGTGAACAGGGCTCCAGGAATGACGTTGTTTTTTTTGTTTGGTATTGGGTATTGGGTAAAATCTCAAATCTCTCAAATCCGACCACAGAGCACCGGGACGCGGTTGGGCGAGGCTGAGGTCCAACTACGCGTATGCATTGCCCATCCAGGGCTATCACCTGGACCCATCAACAGGCGCCTGCCACCCGGGCGGCGCCGTGGTGTTGTTCACACCTGCCCAAGCATTCATGCAGCACATGCAGTACCGGGTAGCGGCGTGCGAGGCGTCGAGTCGATCGGCGTCCCAGCCGTCGGGACGCGCGCGCGTATAGCGCGGCGCGTGCCACGATGATCTCCGCCCACAAACGCAATGGGATCGTAAGCTGCAGGCTGGACAGCTGTGTGACCGTAAGCCTGCTCGCCGCGGCCGGCGTCGCCGCTTTGACGCTCCATGCTGCCGGTGGCGCCGGCGACTTCAACGCTCTCGCGGTTGCATCGCCTGCTGTCAACCAGCTCGGCGAAGCGATGCACTTGCCTTGGCGGCTCTCGTGCAAGATGCAGCCGTTCGGGGTCGCAGATACGTGGTGGCTGTTTGATCTCTTTGCCTGGGGCTCGTGTGCCTCGGCCAGTGCTGGCTCATGCCCGCTCATGACGGCGAGCAGCAAAGCATGTGCTGGGAGTGCCACCCTCTACATTTATCCGACGTGTGCTCATTCTCTCCGCGGACGCTTTCCCTACGGTACGCACGAGTCGAAGGGGGACGCGTACTGTGCACAGGTCCTCCAACCGGGCAGCTTTGCCGACTCGCAGCGATTCTACCGCCTCGACGGTGGCATACCAACGCACCTCGTTGGCAGCCTCCACGTCCAGTTCCCGCACCAAGTCGACGACGTGCCGGTGCGCTACCGCGTGGAGGTCGACGCGGCCGCATCAGACGCCTCTCCGCTCCTCGCCGTCTGGTACAACAACGACTCCTCCTTTTACCGGCGGTATGCCGATATGGTCCATGGCGGCTGGTCAGCCGAGGTGCCATCGTATCGAGCAGATAGCTTCGCTGACGTCTCACCCACTACTCCCCACTCGATCATCCGATGTCCCCTCCGGTGTTCCCTTGCGTAGGACACGGCGTACTGCGCCGCAGAGCTGCCCTCGACACTGGCGCGGGGCGGGTTCGTGCTGCAGGCGGGCTCGCCCGGCGTCCCATACGACGCCCACGCAGTGGTGGACCCGTCGCACGGCCTGCCGTCGGCGCTCTGGGAGCGAAGGCTCTTCTTCGGCCGCGAGCCTGTGCAGTGCGCCACTTCACGCGTTTGGTTGTGAACAGGAGCGCGAGCTCTCCGTGGGCGGTGCAGCCGAGATGAGCATCGGCAGAGCGCCGAGCGGGTGGTCGTGCCAGCAGACCGTCGGCCTCGCGGTGAGCGGGGCTTGCCACCTCACTATTCGAAGGGAGCGGTGTTCAGACCCTCACGGTGCGTCGCGCGAACCAGTGGCGTGACGCTCTGAACGGAAGTCGGCCGCGTAGCCGGCTAGCTGGCCAACTTGATTGCTTGGGCGGATCGGCTACTCACCTCTCACGCGAATTTCAGAGAATTTTCGCACCGATGGTTCTTGCTCCCCATCGAGCTGTTCTTGGATCTTGCCAGAAGGAGGCTATTCCTGTTTTTCGCAAGGCTAAATGTGGGCCCGCGTGGGGCGTCTCTCGGCGTCTCAGCGGCTTGGAGTTGGAGCCTTGGTTTGGACCACCCCTCTCCCGGCCGCCCACCCGCCCTCCCCCTCCCCTCCCCGCGCCCGCCCCAACCCAGGGGTCGCAAAGTCTAAGTGCTAAAAGAAAGAAACAAAAACGGCGCGCCGGGAGGGATGGGAGGACGGCACGCCGCCACCACACACACAGGGATTAGAAAGAGAGGAGTAGGCTTGGACGTTGGAGCAACTTGGAATGCAGTCGGCAGCCTCACACCCAGAGCGCAGAGGGCCGGGGAGCTAAGAAGCGCCTCTGGGGGGGCGCGGGGGCCCTAGAGGGTATCCATGCGGGGGGGCGATGGGGTCCCATGGCCCGCCGCAGGCGCCGATTTTTTCGGTTTTTTTGCGCGATTTTTCACTTTTTCATGGGAATTCGGCGTACTTGCGGCCATGCTATCACGCCTTGCGACAGCCTGTCGGCGCTGCTGACCGTGCCATGCTGCACAATTGATCACCTGCATAGCTCGCGGCCTTAGTATCAAGCATTCAGTGACGACCTGATCGTACGGCCAGTCGGAAGGTGTCCTTCCAACGTGTGCACGCTTCTGACGCAATGCGCGTCGCCTCGGATTGGCTGCTGGCACTCTCGAGGCTATGCCTACACAGCCTCGCGCGCAGGGCAGTCAAGAGGGACCACGCACCTTCTCAGGACAGCACCAGTGCCTCTCTCTTGGACCGGCAAACGTGGTGGTCTCGTGTTACCAATGTGGGACCAGTGCGGCATCGCGCCATCGACAGCTCTGAACTGCGCCTCACCACTGACCGGGAAGGCCGCCAAGTGGGCCAGCACCGGTCGCACATTGTGGCAGCAGTCAGCAGTGCATGTCTGATAGCTAGAGCAGCAGCGTCAGGGTCTCGCAGGGTCGGATCGTGTCAAGCCTCTCGCCCGGCCGGCCGTGTGCAGACGTCGGCCTGTCTGCTGTCTGGAGTGATCTGTCGGCGGTCAGTACGACCAATCAGGTCGGAGTTTTCTGATGGTTGGAGGGTCTATCTGTATGTACTCCTCGAGTTCTCTCCAAATCTGCCCTCTACTTAACCGTACTTAATCGGGAAGTTGGTGCTAACGGAGACTAACGGAGCCGGAGCCCCATTTCCGTACTGCTGCGCGGCGCACGGTGCCTCCGGGGGGCCCCGCGCCCCCCCAGGGAGAAGCGCACCCAGCGGGCCGGACGAACGGGATCTTGGAGCGGGTTACGGGCTAGAGAGCCCTAGCCTCCCTGGGGGGGTGCGCGTTCGCAGGGAAGGGGCCATAAAGTAAACACGCGTCTCCGAGGGTTTATAGTACCGCGCGCTGGGTTTCCCCTACCTAGCACGTAGCAGCAGAGTAACGCCCCCTCTACTCGGAGCTAGTAAACACCCGACATGGGCTCGCGACGAGAAAGAAAGAAATAAACGAGTAACGCAAGGGAGGGATGGGAGGACGGCACGCCGCCACCACACAGGAAAGAAAGAAAGAAAGAAAACACACAACCCAAGGGAGGGATGGGCCACCACACAGGGATTTTAGTCTCGCCCGACGGACTTTTCTTTGTTTTGTGAGCGCCGTGTGAGGCAGCGCGCGCCGCACCACCCGCACCAATCCCCATGGCATCCTCCAGCGTGGCTCGGTCCAACACCATCCAGACGGTGCGGGACTACGTCACGCGGATGTGCACCGACGTGCCCGGCATGAAGGTTCTCGTGATGGACGCAGAGACGACCGGCGTCGTATCGATGGTGTTTACGCAGACGCAGGTCCTGCAGCACGAGGTCTTCATGACCGACACGATCGAGCGGCAGGCGGGAGAGAAGATGCCCCATCTCAAGGCGTGCTACTTTGTGCGGCCGACCGCCGAGAACCTGCGCCGCATCCAGTCGGAGCTGCGCGAGCCTCGGTTTGGCGAGTACCACCTCTTCTTCTCAAACACGACGCGCGACGGGATGATCCAGCAGCTGGCGGAGGCGGACGAGCACGAGGTGGTGCAGCAGGTGCACGAGTACTTCGCCGACTACCTCCCCGTCACCCCCGACCTCTTCCACCTCAACGTCGGCTCGATCGCCGGCCTGTCTGGCAGCGTGTGGGAGCAGGCCGTCTTCGACCGGCTGCACCAGGGCGTGTGCTCGCTGCTGCTCTCGCTCAAGAAGCGGCCGCAGATCCGCTACCAGCGCAGCTCCGAGGTCGCCCAGCGGGTCGCCGAGACCGTCCTCGGCACAATGGACGCGGACCCGGACCTGTTTGCGTTCCGGCGGCCGGATGTGCCGCCGCTGCTGCTGA